CTAAAGTGCCTCCCTGCTACTAGTTCTCTGTCTTTATCTTTCTCTTAAGGTAGAAACGATATATGACAATACACTTTAACTAATTATTCTGGCTCACCACTCCTTTCTATCCAGAAATATATCAAAAAGTTTTATCATTTTTTTAAAACTTTTAATATTTTAAACTCAAAAAGACTTTAAACAATCTTTCAACCTAATTTCTAAAATTTTTCTTATACTCTCAAATTTATTAAATCAGTATTAAGATCACCAACACCTCAGAATTAGCCATCTATAACTTTCATCTTAAAATTATCTTTTATAGTCTTTCTACTAAATCTCACCTTCATACTATCAAATCCAGTCTTTATCTAAATAATCTTTATTCACACTGCAACAGCTTAGAAGAAACTATCGATTATATTTGGAACTGTCCTATTAATAACAATATATTAAAAACAATTATACTCTCAACACAACAAATTATCAATAAACTAATTAACAACTTTCCTGAATATAAACTACAATATTTCAATAATATTTAAAATATAATACAAATTGCTACTGGTTCAATTTTCTTTTCAGCTCTAATTTCAAATTAAAAATCTATTCCAATCTTCAAACATATACAAATTTTAAACAAACTTCTCAAACTAATATACAATAACATATGAAAATCCAGAAATAACAACATAATCTCTCAGAAAAAAATTCTTGATATTATGACACAACAAAAAAAAAACAAAAATAACATTAAAAACAAGGTCAACCAAACTTGACTCAACAAAAAAAAACTCAACCACTAACACAATATCAGTAAATAGCATTAACATCAACTATACTCCTTAATCTAACACTTTGTTTCTAAATATTTTTCTTAATTGTATCTTATTAACTGAAAACTTATTTTCATTAGATCTGGATGAAAAATTAAATTATTAGAGAGGTGCTAACCCCTAATTTAATAAATAGTTACTTCTAAAATTTTTCCAATTATGGTTTTTATAGAATATATTTATTTATTAACAGGTCGATATTTATAGTAACATATCTCAATGTATTACTATTGTTGTAAATTTTTATACTTAGTTATTTTTATAAAAATCAAATCAACAATTAATAAAAATCACAATTTGAGAAGTGCCTCGCAAAAAAAAAAAAACAATTTTTTATAACTTATATATTGTAAATGGAAAAGGTATAATGAGGGATGGATGCGTAACGCGATTCGCGCGTCGCGTGTTTAAAACCCAGATATGTGATGTTGAAAATAAAGTAGTTTAGACGATAGTTTATTAGTAAGCTTAAAAAGTCTAAACCCATGACGTCAGCGATAGTCTATTCTAGCATAGCATTAGGTTATAAAAGAACAATGTACTCATATAAAAGAAGTGAGCGAAAAAACGAACTAAAAAAATAAAACAAGAAAAATGGAACATCCAAAAAGTATCGCGCTTTATAGTGAGACAACTAATTAAAAATTGCTAAATTAGTAGTGCGATCGATGACGCCAAAGAAGGGAATTTCCAATTAATAAACTTACCTCGTTTAGTACTGCTAGCTTGAAAAGAAAATAATCCGAAGGGCCGCGAAGGAACGGTGGCAAAAGATTATCAGTAAAAGCACAAGGGTGAGGAACAAGAGGAACATTAGTTAAAAGAAAACCCGGCCAAGTCAAATCACATGCCTTGACTAAAGAAACCTACCCACTTGAATGTTACGCGAGTGCTGGTCCAAGAAGCGATAGACTCGCCGAAAATCACGTTCACAATATATATAATATAACTTTTTTAATTAAATAGAATTTAATATTTAAAGTATTTATTTGTTGTATATAAAAATAAGAATTATAAAAAAAAAAAACTCTCTCTTGATCACATCTGTTTTGTTAAAAAAATTTTTTTATAGTAATTTTAAGTAAGAAAAAATGGTTTACTCTCTTTGTCGCAATTGAGTCTCAACTCAAAAGCTCAAGAATTTTCAAGACAACTTATACAGTACAGTGAGATTTTTGGTCAAAGTCTACTCAAGTTTGGAAGTTTTTCTTATTCTTCGGTTGCATAAGGAAAGGCCTATGACAGTTCTTCTTTCTTCAGTTCTCTTGTATCTCTTTTTATTTTTATTCTATCATAAAAATCATTTACATTATTACTATTATACTCACTAAACCAAATACTTTCCAAAATACACACTCAAACAGAGTTAATAGGTTTACTATTTGTTTTAAGTTAACTTTTATATACAATATTTCCATAGCAATATTTGCTGTGTTATCTTTAATCTCCAAAAATTTCTCATCTCAAAAACCAAAATCAGTTTACCCCCTCCAAATGATCAGCACTCTTCAATTATCTAATCAGATTTTGTCTAATAATCAAAGCAAAAACCAAACAAGCTCAAACCAGTTTTGTACCACAACAATAATCACAATAACAACAATAACTAATTCACTACCAATAACCATAACAACAAACAATATCATATGCACTCTATTATATATAATATCTAGAAGAACAAAAAGTTGAAACCACGAGCCCACCAGAGGGTTCGTTTGTTACATGCATAAATCTTATAGTATATTTGATTTAGTTTTAGTTATAGTTACTTTTATTTTTAATTTTAATTTTTTTACATTTAAAAAATCAAAAGAATTTGTAAAATTTTCTAGAATGATAGGCATAGCTGCTACTCAGCCTTACTTAGCATATTAATATTGATTTTGAATTTTTTTATGATATTAGTTAGATATTGATAAGTAGGCAAGCTAGTATTTAACTTTTCTAAAATAATGAAAGAGATGTTGTTTTTTTTAACAATACATATCTTGTTATATACAAATCAAAATAAAGAAATTATATTTACTTATTGGGAAAACATCTTTAAAAAAAACAAGAATTATTTTTAATTTTATATCTTATTATTTGATTTATTATTTAATTATATATGCTTTTCACTTAATTTAACTTTATTTTATTTGTTTATAAACTTGTTTTTATATTATATAAATTTGTATAAATATATTATTAATTTTTTGAATAAATATATTGTTAATGATTTTAAACTTATTAAAGTAAATAACTTAAGTAGACATCATATCAATATATTAAAAAAAATCAGTTTATTAAATAGTAACTTGTTTTGTAATTTAATAAACAAGTAAATATTAATTAAATTATTGTATTTTAATTTGTTATTTTGCTTTCTAATTAAATTAGATAATTATATAATATCTTATTAAATTTTTTTATTATATTATTAATTTGTAAATTATACAAAATAAGATTCATGAATCTATAGTACAGTAAGTAGTACTCTTAGATTTATATATGTTTTTAGGTCAATACCTATAGAGGACAAAACATATTAATAAAGCTTGTACATATATAGGTCTATTAGTTTTTCTATATACTTGACCTCAAGATATTTGAATTTAATTCTTACTTAATTAAGTTATATAAATATAAAACCTTTAATTTTTCTTAATGATTATAAATTGAAACAAGATTAAAAAAAAAAGTTATATAAGAAAAAGCTTTTGGTCTAATTATAAATATGTTCATTTATTCTAACATGGCAGACTCTATAATACACTTTCTTCAGATTAGATAACTTTGAGAAAGATTAATAGTAGAACAATTATATATGTTCTTTCAAAGTGGCTTGTAAAAGTTACAATATATAAAAATTATATCTTACTTGATATTTATACTCTTAGATTTTATAGCTTAAGCCAACCAAGAATCTATAGAGTGTCTATTGAAAGATTTAAGAGTTATATATATTTGATTGATAATTAAGCCTTTAGATTTGATAGTATATATAAACTATAGAAACAACTTTTGAAGTATTTACTAGAAAGTGTATATTCTTAACTTTTAAATATATAATTTGTATTGAGCTGCAATTATGAATGGAATAAGAAACTTAAAGAAAGTTAAAGTATAATATTAAGAAGCTTTTTGGCTATTAGAATTCAAGATTGGATAGTTTAAAATTGGTGGTAGAATTTCTACTCTTTTGACTTCTATCTGTATGCTGACTTATTTGAGATATAAGTTAATATGATCAGATACTGTATGCAGGATTAAATGTGCTAGTTAATATTAGTATAACTAGTGGACTGTTTATATATAATATATATATAATTATAATGATTAATAAAAACTGCACATATAGTACATTTAACCAAAAAAAAAGAAGTAAATTATACAAAATAAAATAATAATATTTTACTTATAATATAGTTAACAAAGCATTAACCTTTTTTTTTAAAGGGGATTCTTTATAACATAATATTTGTATTGAATATTTATAATAACAAATTATATTTTTATAAATAAATTTAATAATTTTTTCTGTTATATTTTAATAGATAATATGGTTTTGTTGTTTAAAATTATCTTTAATAATTAATGGTATAAAAAGTAATTAATTCTTTTAGTTATGAAATTTGGCTTATAAGGCTTAAAAAATATAGTATTTGATTTGATTCTCTAAAACAAAATAAAAGACACTTTAATTTTTTATACTATCTTAGTGTTTATACTTATATAACAAAATATAACAAACCAAACCAATTGCAATTGCAAACAACTACTTAAACTATTTCTAAACTTATATTATAGTTATTGAAACAACCAATCCAAACTATGGACAATTCTAATAGAGACTAAAATTCAGATATAAATTTAAATAAAGATAAAAAAGTCAAATTTATCTTGAACCTTTGCCTTAACGATATGCTGTATATGGTTTTCTATTTACATGAGTAATTATTTTTGAATGCAGACTGGAAATTTTTCTGGCGTGATCCTAAAATTTATATTATATATGTATTGTTTAAAAGTTGAGTTCAAAAATTATATCTAGCCATTTTTGTCACCTTCAAAAATAATTACTCTCATTATTATTAAAATAAAAAATAATCAAAATTAGCAAATAATCAAAATGATCAAAATAATGCTAATTTCACTAATAATGCAATATTGATAATATTAATAAATCATGTGGTGTTTGACGACTTAGGTCAATAGGCAGCAAAGGCTTTTTTCATTATATTTGTTAAGGGTCTCCATAGATGGAGGAGATGTTTTTGGGGCTTTAAACCATTCTAAGCTTTCTTGGTTTAACCAGAAAGTTGGAATTACCATAATTTCTCTTATTCTGATATCACAATTAAAGATAATTTTGCTTCCATCTTCCACATTTCGTTCGGTAACTCTCTTGAGAATATTGATCAATGGAATCTACAATTCCTAGAACATCAATAAAAAATTGTCATCTAGTTACTTGTTACAGGTGTCGTAATTTAGCTGTGGGCAATAGAAGTCATAAAAATTGTAGCATAGATGCGCATTATAAATACCATTGTCGTAATTCGGCTGTGGATAAAAGAAGCTATAAAAATAATTATAAATCCAAGAGGCGACGTAATCACTTTGTGAAGCAAATGAGAGAGGAATATGGAGTATGCAACAGACTAAGTAAGATTTCCATAAGTCTAAGCTACACAGCTCCCGTATAGAACTGTCGGAAGAGGTAATCCATCACAAGAGTCGTTTAGCAAATATTATCTGCTTCAAAGAACGACTTACGTCACCCGGATAAAAATTTGTAGAGATATTCTAGCTACTGTATACACTTGTGGGGATAGACTAAACCAGACACTCTTCCATGAAAAGGCAATATTGTTTTCCGAGTGTCTTACCGGTTTTTTACAATGTATAATGCGGTATATGTTACGAAACTAGTGATTCAACATATGTAACACGCAAAGCGTGCACTCTGTGCAATAATAGTATTACTTTAATAAAGGAATTGCTATTTTTAATGTAATTGGGTGATACTTATGGTTATATGTACTGATCTCATACTCTTCGACTGTTCTGATATAGTCAGTGGAACCGGATGAAATATATACATAATATTTGCTTGTAGTATGACCGCAAAGCCGCTTATGTGGCCTAATTATTTAAGTTTACATAAATTTTACATGGGCCGGATGAAATAAATAACTATTATGTAAGTGCCTTCTGCGAACGAATTCTAATTCTTTTTACATTAGCAGGTGATTGTTGAATACTTGTAGCATCAATATAAGAGGATGGTTCGTATTTCTCACATTATTATTTACCATGTCAGCATTGCGCACATCGGCATCTACAATTATTAAAGATGAATTACGAGAGGAGATACTGACCGTTTTCGACTTCTTTGACTATCAACGGATGTTCTTCGACTTCTTCGAATATCTGGCGATCATTGACTTAATTCCTGCCCAACTTCCTCAATACTGTACAATAGATGGTGCAGGTGTATTATCCTCCAACTCTACGTCGTCTACGGTTAGAACTATTTATATTACGGATTCTATCAAAATCGTCCTCAGGTCTTTCCCAAAAATGCATGCGAAATTTGTTGAAATATTGTGTACTTGTAAATTTTTTCTTTACATTGGTATCCATTATCAACACACTTTAACCATACTTCCAACCCGAGTACAGTAATCGAAGATTCCTGATTTATTATTTGTGGACGATCTCGAAGTTTGGCACCTTTTTATTTATTCAGTGTCGTAAAATACAGTATAATGCCTTTTAAATATTAGTCGATCACCATTATTCAAAAAATATACGCACTCCACTTGCGCTACAGTAATAGGAAATAACGTATATTCATCTGACTACAGTATTTAAATAGTAGATCAGTTTCCTAATCAGGATAAATTAGCGAGGTTAATCTTAGAAAAAGGAATGAAAAGGCGATAAAGATCTTTAAACTTTTTAACGGTAATAGAAGTACTGTAAAGATCAGATAAATTGTATTAAAATTTTTCCACTCAAAGCCTTATAATTTTTCTGAATGGTAACACATTATTTCCGAATCTAGAGCTAACTCCAGTACGAAGTAGTATCAGTAAAAATATTGGAGGAAAAGACATTATACAATAAAGGTGTATATATTTTCGATTACTATGTGAAGAAACTTCTGGGTTTGCAAATTAACGCTTGTTTTTTCTTACAGAATTTCTGACTCATTTATTAGCTTCGCGAAAGGGAAGAAGTATAAGTTATTGTTATTTTATTATTTCTTGATTATTTTAGCAAGAGTACCTACAAGAGCTAAATCACTAAGTAAACTTTTACTACCATCTGAAATTCGCTTTTTTGCAGTTGTTGGCTTTCCTACTGCATAATATATACCAGAAGCGATAATATTATACGTTGTACCAACTACTGGCACTAAACTCACAACTTTTGCAACTCCTTCCTCTCTTAATTGGAAAAGACTATTGTTCATAACACTAATTCCTTTGTAATCTAAAAATGATAAATTACTAAGTAAATGATTTTTACTTGTTTCCCTTTGAATTCTCATTGATTCATTATCACTATTTCTATCAAAGGGGAAGTCGACTCCAATAAATTTAATATAATCGTAATTCCCAAAAACTTTTTTCAATGCTTTTTTATTTTCATTGACCCATTCTTGTGAACTATGGGTAATTATGATAATAAAATTGCGCTCGCCTCCCTTAAAAATTTCTTTGAAGATTTCGAACGCTCTGATATCTTCGTTTTGATTTCTACCCTGCTTTTTAATATAACATATATAGTTGAGCGATATCTGGGTCTCCGAGAAATAACTTCGTAATTTTCTGACGACATCGTTATGCGGATATTTGCTCGAATCTGTCTCACCTAAACCGGCAGTATCATATACAACATAATTTCCTATTTCGGAGAGGGCACATTGTATTCCAATATCACCAATATCTTCTCCGATTGCTGAATCATTAACTGGAAAGATATTTTTCGGGTCATTAGGAATATTGCCATAAACTAGCATATTAGCTATAGAAGACTTGCCATGTCCAGAAAGTCCAAAAAGAACTATAGTTTTCGTTTCCATTGATGCAAAATAATTTCAGACGACAATTCGGGGTTTAAATAGAAAGGAGGCAATAATTATAAAACCTTATTTGTTATCAATTTGTGAAAACTCCGATACGCCTCGTTCATAATGGAAAGGATCTTATTATATCCATAATAGTAATGATAACTACGTATACAAGTACTCTCCCGGCCAAAAATGTCCAACCAGTTGATATTCATAATAGAACAAGTACATTACTTTAAACCGAATTGTGCCACAACTAATGCATAGAAGTTCGCAGAATTATTTTTTACATGTATCTACTGTGTAATTCGAAAGTGGTGAAATTGATAGTTAGAGTGAGCAGCTACTATATTCTTGAGCACCCCCAAACAACTACAGTATTCGTGACCTAACACGCTTTATAAATTTCTCATGTGATAAATATTATCATGGGCTATCCGGAAAGTCGATCGTTAATCTTTGCTACGATCGGTCGGTTATTTAACAATAAGGTAAGTTTTTCCTTTAATTCTTGAGGCGTATCTTCGATTTAGCTGGTCTTCACTTTAACTTCTCTACCGACTTTCTTAGAACCCTTCCAATGCCAATTCCTTTATACAAGACCTCGGAAACATTGAATACAAGGTAAGAGTTATCCCCTTAAACGTTAATTTATTAATCTTTAAAGTAAACTTAATTTGTCTACATGCTACTGATTGATATGTACAGTATTTATACATACACCTGTTGTTTACATGTTTACGTTATTCTAGAAATTCTTACTTTAATTTCCCACCGTTACTCACAAGTAACACTAATCTCACTTTTTACCCACGACAACATATACTTACCTATTTTCTATGGTGGACTACTATGTCACATATTTCCTTAGTTGTTCACATTTGCTCCATTGAATAAAAATAATTATTTCTTGCATTCGCAGTCACAATTAGTCTATGAAATATAATGTAAAAATTATGGATTTGCGTGCATTTGCATGCGGAGAATGTATCGGAAAAATAAAAAAAAGTTCATAATTGAAGCACCAGTATCAAATTGACAACTATCGTATACAGGATGGCACAGAATTTTTTGCAATTTTTTTTAATTAAAGATATTTATTATCTAATTATATGATAATGCTGTAGCTACTATATATAGTATTATAATTAATTTCATCCAAAGATTTTCATTATTTTTATTGGATTTTATTAATATTTACTCTTGAATTACTGCTTATTCTAGAATAATCTTTATATTATTACTTTTTTTTATTGTTTAGTACTATACTTTTTATACTATTGTTTCTTTAGAATATTTTTTATTTTACTTATTTATTTTACTTTTTTATCTTTGCCAAAACATTTGTTTCTATATTAATATATTATAACACAAGAAAAAGTAATACATTTCATACTGAATTCTAAATTTCTTATGATATTGGAAAGAAAACATTAGTATCAAACACAGTGAGCATAATAAAAACTAGTGTAACTTGAAGAAAAAGAAATGTTAAAAGAAAGTAGAATCGCAATACAATTACAATAATTGTCACATAACCAGATCATATAAGAATTGATAATGGCACTATAGGATCAAATAATAAAATTATGCAATAAGAGTAGTATAAAATCAAAATAACAATTGCTTCATTATAAAATTTTTTCTTAATTTGTATTTATTATTTTTATTATAAAATAAGTATATAAGAATATATAAAAAAAAATTAAATAAAAAAATCTAGTTAAAAAATCTTTTGGCCAACATTAATTTCATCTTACTATAAATAAAACATTTGCTATCATTATATGAATCCAAACTTTTTTTAGTAACAAACTTATCAATTACAGTTATAATATACAGATGACTGTTCTGATAAATATAATATTTCTTTTTATTAACTTTTATTTATTAAATAAATAAATTAACTTTTATTAAAACAAATTATTATTGCTTCTTTTACTTGATTTTATAAACCTTAGAATTATACTAATTTTAATATACCTTAGAAACTTTAGCATATTATATTGATTCTTTTAAATAAGATATTTCTCTATTACTAGTTCTTTATCTTTATTTTTTTTCTAAAAAAAATATAATATATAACAATAGATTAATCTTTAAATTAGAATCAGAATTAATATATTAACTTTTAAATATAGCTTGATATATAGTATAATAGGCAAAGTGTTGTTTTGTTTTGGACTTTAGTTGAATAATTTGCTCAAATAATTAAATAATTGCTTTTCTAATTAGATATTAATAGCTAAGATTAATCTTTATTCAATACACCTAGAATTGATCTTTTTAATCTTTTTTGAAATTGTTTTAGGTTAACCAAATTGGATTCAAGTTATAAAAAAAGACAGTTACACTTTACAAAGTATTTTATATACAAAGTTATATTGTTAAAGTATTTAAATAAGATTCTGCTTAAATATAAAACAAAGAAGTAGTATAAAAAAAGTGTCTAAACACAAAATAGTAATTTGTTAAACAAATTGATTAAATATAAGTAATGTTAAAAAATTTTATAGATATTATTATTTAATTTTATATAATAAATCTATATTGTTGAAAAAAAAGCAAAAAACTTTCTTATTATTACTAACTTGTTTATAAGAGTAACTAGAACCTTGATTATTATATATTACTCTATTAGTTGTAATCTTTATAAATTATGTTTTATTATAAAAATCCAGATTAAAATTCTTTTATTAAAGACTTTTAGCTATAAACAAGATAATTTTATGGTTGTAAAATTATTAATTAATTATATTAAAGATTAAAATAATATTCTTAAATATATTTTCAATATTATAATCTTTTATAAATAAATAAATAAATAAACTATTATACATATATATATATATGACTTAATCTTTTGAAAGATATATATACATAATAATATGAGAATAATAAAATTTTTAGAATTTAAAATTTAAAATTTAAAATTGTTATTATATTTAGTTTCAATTTTTATATTTATAAAAAAAATAAATATATGAATTATAAATATATTGTAAAATTAAAAAATAACAAATTATTTGCTAATTTTAAATTTATATTATTAAAAATAAATAAAATATATATAGTTGATTTTATTAAAAGAATTTTTTATTAACAATTTTCTTTTTTTTTTAATATTGATACTTTTTTAGTAATTATTGTTAAACTTAAAAGTTTAACCTTTTCAAAATAGAAAATTTCATATCAAAAATAGATCTAACATATTAATTTACTAATAATAGACCTATAGTATTTTATTTGTTGAACAATTTTGCTTAAAACCCAAAAAAAAGTTTCAGTTATCACAGTTTTTATAATTAAAGATTTCAGTTAAATGTTTATAGTATTTAATCAAAAATATATTATTATATCATATAATTAAGTAATAATTTCCAAGTTATAAATATGAAGAATCGAAAAACATATTACAAATTAGTATTTCATTAATTATTCCATATTTTGTATTTTTTTTTTTTTTTAATACAGATAACTTACACCTTGTTTTATTACAAATTTATTTTATACAAATTTTCCACTCTTGTTTTCAAAATAAAACTCACTAAGAATTTCTCCTACCGTGCGGCTTATTGCCAAATATTAACATACTTAGCTAATGTGCCAAGGCTCTATCAATCCTATTTCAAAATTGTGTTAAAAGAGTATATTGTGTTCCAATTAATCCAATCGTAGCTTGATTGTTTTATAAATTTGTTAAGTCCTGGTATAAAGGTTTTCCCTATTAATGTTTTTTCTCTTTTCCCAGTGACCATCTCCTTTTTTTTTGTCTGCTGATATTGTTTTCTTCTTCCCATTTGATAAATTGTTCACATCTGTTTATCTATTTTTGATGTAGTTCTTTTAAAAATCTGTCTAGTATGCTATGTATCATTTCTTGTTGTTTGTCTTTTTCTGTATATTTTTTAATTGTTTGAATTATCGGTTTGGTTATTGCACCTCTAGCGACATAGTTTTTGATTTCTTGTGTCCATGTGCTTTGGTGTTGTTGAATTTCTTTGTTCAATTTATGTTTTGGATAGGTTGTAGTTCTGCTGCAGACTTCTTCATTGATTATCTGGTTTAGTATTTTGAAGATGCTTTTGCCATTGTTTTTGCATCTCATGCAATGCGTTTTGGATTCTATTTCTTCATTGCAGAGAATGCATGTTTCATCTGTATAGGTCTCTGAGGATCTTTCGTGGAGTTTGTCTTTTGTAGGTAGTTCTAAATTCCATAGTTTGAACCTGAAGGATCTTGTTGTATGATCTTTGTGGTTGGTGGGTCCTGTGGTAATTTTGGATGGATGTTTTTTCTGAAGAGTTTCTGCCCAATTGATAATATCTCTTGTGTTATGGTTGTCGATTGTAATTAGATTGCATTTCAGCATCCTCCAGCTTAAGATGTGTTTGATTCTTGTAATGTTTTTGCAGGTTACTGGAATTGTGTTTTCCAGTACTTGTCCATTCCACTCTTGTGTCCATGTTTGTTTCTCATGTCTGATGGCTAGGAAGTTGAGAATTGAATCTGCCATTTGGTTGGTTGCGTCTTTGGCTAATTGGTCTGCTTTGTCATTATCAGGGTCCTGATTGTGTGCTTTGATCTTTTTCCCTATAAATTTTATTTTTTGGGAGTCTAGAATATATATGATTGTGTTGATTATGTTTTGGTTTTTCAAGGTTCGAATTTGTGTATGGTCGTTTTGTGTTTTCTGAATTGCATTTAAAGCAGCTTGACTGTCATTGCAAATAGTAACTGTGCTGCCTGCTGGAGCTGTTGTGAGAAAGGATGCTATTGCTGCCAGTTTTGCTCTTGTTGATGAAGAGAAGTTTTCAACTCTTTCTTGAAAGCTAGTATTCTCTATCTGTGGTATGTCCATCCAAAATCCATTCTTTTGTCTGTGTTTATAAATTCATCGGTAAAGACTATAATTGTTTTCTTGTTTCCTATCTTGTGTCTGATTGTGGCCAGTTGCTTCAGAATTGTCATGGATGTTGTTATCCATTTTTTGATTGTATGTATGTTCATTT